CCGTTTAATCCATTAGTTGTTGCTGTTAAAGACTCTCTTATAGAAATATTATTTATTATTTTTGCGAGGATATTACACTAAGCTTTATTATTAACTGTAATTTATATATTTTACGTATTTTTGTTGGTTGATTATAAAATAGATAATATTTATAATAAAAGAATAAAATTATTTTAAAATTTGATAGGGAGTTATCATTTAATGGTAACAAACTAACATCCAACAAAGCATTGGCGCCCACAGTTTTTCCACGAACCAATGCAGTTATAACTATAGGGCTCCCAAATTTATTTGTTTGCATATTTGGCATTGCCAACTCTTTACGCTTTATTCAACGATATAAATATTCAGATGGACCAGATGAATAGTTATGAATTTATAGTGTCTGATCAAAAGACCAGAGTGGGGCCCCCGAATGTATGTAGGCCCCGGGACCTACGAGAAACCAATGCAATTGCACCACTTGGTACCCTACGTGGGCGCCATCGCAACAAAGCTCATAAAATAATTTTGCACATGAATCAGGATCAATCTGGTGGATGTCAGCGTGGCACTAACACTATACTAAGGCATTATACTATTATAGAAAGCTATCGGACAATTAGACAAATTAAAATTAACTGAGTGTCTCCTTATAAAATCCAATACACAAAAAGCTTTGCTAGTCATATAATCGATATGAGGGCCAAGATTAATTGTAAAAGCACAAACATAATGCTCAAGTCCTGGACTAGGTTAATGCCTTGAACATAATAGTCCCCTTAGTTTGTAGTCAAAGGAGTATTCTGTATTACTGACCTAGCACCTAGAACGATGAAAAATCATTACATTTTGTGATATTAAGCTAYGGATTGAAAATATTATTATAAATAAATTTTTATCTTCAATTTCTTGTTCTTGTGCCCTGTTTCTTCATTTAAAAAACCTGATTATCATCAACATTAATAGTAAAGGTTATTTTTTCAGACCAATATGAGTACCTACTTGTTATAGCTGTTATTCAAAATTATGTTTATACAAATATTTATAGGACGTATCAAATTCATAGAAGAACATATTATTAGGTATTATTGTCGTGCTTCTTTTTTTATCAGGTAAGTAATTTTTTTTTGTAACCAATATTTAAATAATCTTAAAATGTTTTAAGGATAATTATCCTTAATAATATAAGCATCATAATAACTCAGAAAATCAGAAACTATACTAGTAAGAATTTTGATTTAGATACATCAAAATTTTCATAAAATCACCCACTAAATAATTTATAGTAAAAAAATTCTACATAGTCCTCATTTGAAAAAAAATAGAAGTTTGTATCGCCATTCTCCACTAGACATTCCATAAGTTGTACAAAAAATATCAGAAATTTGAGAATATGATATATACGAGTATGTATACCTAAAAATTCTAAAAATCTAAATTTGTATAAAAAATTGGGATGAGTAGGTATGTAAAAATGTTGACTTYTTGGTCTGAATAATTTATTTAGCCGACTTTTACCTTTAACTACTATATAGGTACCTACATAATATGTCCCGTATACATATTGTAAAGCAAATCGTAATGTGAATGTAGCAAAATAACCTTCACAATAAACTTGACTAAAACGTTCAACATTTATAGTTTCCTAGCGTATAGCCGCCTATAGGTGGACATCATAAATATAATATATGTTCACTCAGCTTTGGTACAAAAAAAACATAATTATTATGAGTTATATAATTGTTTGAACTTATACACAATGTTATTTTAGCACAGAATAGTTATGGAAGTTATTAAAGGTAAAATAGTTGTTTTATATAATATTATGTGATTATATATATTGCTCAAGCTACGTTCAAGGTACTCAACATGACAAMATTTATGTATATATTAAATAACAATATCTATATTCTTCAACATATATTAATATACCTAAATAAATAATAATATAATACACTTTATCAAACTTATAATATAACCATATAGGACATAGGTATACTGCCAGTCAAATAGACAATATAATATTGTGTAGGCTTTTCATTAAGGTAAAAGACTTTTTTTTATTAAATACAGAAATAAACAACTTTAACCTAAACTAAGTATTCTTACATTCAGCATTTGCTTTTTTTTTTTGAGTAATATTATTATTGTATCTATAATATTAATTACATCTTTTAGATTCCGAGTGAAATGATAAATGTATTAACTATTAACTTTACAATAAAGTATTTTTTTTATAAATGTAGGTACTATGTACACAAAAACAGTGTAAAAAAAAAAAGCGGGTAAGTAGATGTCGCTCTGCTGTACATTAGGTGGTAGGGTGGACCTCTGACTAGGGTAGGTTAGATTTGAATGCAATGATAAGTATCATTGTATACGAAAAACGATTCTGAACGAAGATGATTTTTCAGTCTAGGATATATTATATTTAAAT